CTGCTGATTGTCATCTATTAATATTTTTCTTTCTAGACCTTTTGGAAAAAACATACGCATACTTTTAGTACATACATGAAAAATGAGCAACAGAGGTTAGTAGGCTTCATTAATCCTGGGTGGAGATTTGTGTTCTGTTCATTTGAGGTATAAGTTAGGCCAACTACTATTCTCTGTGCAATTTCTCTCTTCCATAAAATAGAGATAGTAGATGAGGTGAGAAAATGAGATTAAAATGTTATGTTACAGGAAAAATGTAATTATTCTCCTCCTAAATTTCTCCTACCTGCTGGACTATTCCGATAGCAACAGTGATGGTAATATTTATCTATGCTTTTAAGTACAAAGAGACTACAAATAATGGGATGTATTCGTGATGTGTGTGGAATGTTCATATGTAGTAAAGCTATTCGCACTGCCTTTTATTTCTTTAGAATTCAAATTCTTAAAACTTCATTTGAAAAGAACATCTACCATACTGTTGACTATGAAGAACATATTTTTACTTCAGAGGTATGATGAACTTGTTTCTTTCTTGTTTTTAATAATTTTTAATTCTCTAATTTTACCGACATGTATTGATTTTTTTTTTTCCCAAAGAAAGTCTTGATCCTCAGCACTGTATTAATGCCGCATAAGTATTCTTGTAGTTTTTCATTGTCATAAAATATCCTTTAATTTAACACTATTCAGTGTTTTAGGGCTAGATTTCACCCATTAGTAGGTGTGTGCAATTATCTGGAAAGCTGCTGCAAGATTTATTCTGTGTTCTGTGGCTTTGTTTACCCGTGTTAATCATGCAAGAAAGAACAAATTTAAAACACACGTCCCTTTCCTTAGGCAGGTGGATGCGTGTGCATCTGTATCTCTCGGTTATAAACCATTTAGGGGTGTAATTGTCTTCTTGAAAATGGGTTACCAGTTGTGAGCAGAGAAGATGCATTCAGTATCTTTTTATAGATGCATCTGATGAAAGAAGACATAAAAGGACTCCAAGAGAAACTTCTTAAAGAAATGGTAAATGAAGTTATCTTGTCCTCATTTTTATTTATTGTTTAAGTATACCTGTTTGAACACTAAATTACTAAAAAATGTAATTTCTAGTCCCCTATCAAAAATAAAAATGAGTCAGAATCCAAGTATCACCGACATGTTATACTTCACACCTTATCTGGGTGATAAAAGCAACAGGTAGATATGGATATACTGTTTTAGTTCTGAGTCTTAATATGTTGCATGTTGACGTGGAAAAGAAAAGTATCATATTTGATATGTTAAAAGCAGCATATACTATGCACTGGAATTACAATACCTAAAAAAAAAAAAAAAGGAAGATTTTATTTAAAGTATGCGATAAATGTAATGCTTTTTGCACAGCAAGAAGAGGAACTGTGGAATGTTCGCAGAGGATTGCAGACATTGTTTCAGTCAGAAGACAGAATTCTGAAGTAGCATTTTCAGATACCTTCCTGAAATTCAAGGTGAATGTAAACAGTCTTTTATAATGTAAAATTTGACAACTATTTTTTTTTTTACACTCAAGGAAACGATTGTAATGAAAGCATATTTTCCTTCATAGTATTAAAATATTTGTGGATAAGACTTCTCCTTTTATATGTGAGATTTGGAATTATTTTACTGAATCTGCTAAAATGTGATATGTAAATTTTTGGATTTTTAGCATGTGCTATTTTTTAAGAAGCCTTTAACAATTTTTATAGGCTCTTTAACTGACTTTCAGAGAAATCGCTTCAAGTTTCACTTTGAATCTATGTTTTGGGTCTGTGTGTACAGAATACCCCTTTTGTCTGATCCAGAATACAGTCAGAAATTACTTAGGGATGAAATCACCTGTTTTGATCTCAGTCCTATTTGTCTGTGTTGTTAGACGTCAATAGGAGTTTCTAAGAGAAAACAAAACTCTAAACACTTGTGGTTGAACTACGTTGCAAATAGTTGTATTAAATATTTCAAGAAAAATATATGTTGTCTGTCTTTTTTTAACAAAATGATGTTATTACTATTTTGCTTTAAATCACTAATACATATTTGCACGTCAGTCAAATAAAACTTACTGCTGTGCAAATATTTCATGTAAGACAACAGATAGCAAGAGGGTCTGCTATCTGTAGCTCAGAAATATATCCTACATACTAATACAATCTGTTTCATATACTTAGATATCAGAAGATTTCCTAAGAAAACGACCAGTGAGTCATAATTTACACTTCTCCTTTGTTGCCATGTATCAGCTAGAAGGTTTCTTCTGAATACTTGTCATGTGCAACTTCTAAGCTAATATTTCTCTTAATTTGCTTTTAAATTAAACAAAAAACTACCTTGCATTTTATAATTCCTTAAGAACCTTTTAATCTTTTTTTAACTTGCAATCCTGCATTTATATACTGCAAACTTGTCAGGCTCAGAACAATACCTTTAATATTTTTCATTTAAGTTCCCTTAAAAAATAGGGATTAAAAACTTACAGCTGATCAAGAAGTAACAGATATAGAGAATTAACTCAGAGAGTGTGCATGTCTTGGAGCTTGTCTACGTTACCACATGCAGAGCTGCCTCTCTACCATGGAACTGACTCCAGATTAACACTCCCAGCATCTCAGGAGCCTGAGCTCACTCAGCACTGCACTAACACAACTTCCCAGCTTCTGGAGCAAGGCTGAAGAGGGTACGTGCTTGTCTGTAGCTGATGTTATGACCACAGAAGTCTCAAAAGAATATATTAGCCAATTTTGGGGCAACAGCTCTTCACAACTCAACTGCTTTATAGCCCTTATTTTACATTCTATTATACCTCTTATGTTGTCCTTTGGCTGTCTTTAACGTAGAATCGTTAGGGTTGGAAAGGACCTCCGAGATCATCGAGTCCAACTTCTCTGTCATTTCTTCCATTCTTCCTCTACCCTCTGAACTCTTCTGTTTTTCCTCAGTTTCCTTTCTACATTCCTAATACTGCTTCTATTATCAACACAGAGACCTTTACTTACAGTAGTGGTCTTTAATCTAATTTTTTTCTCATGTTACTGAAACCACTCAGTGGAAATCTCTCTAACTCTTATTTATTTTCATTCCAGCTAGTTCTGAATGCAGCTATTATGCTATATTGCTATTATTATAATCTACTATTTTTTAAAAAAGTCTAATAGACTGGCTTTCATCATTTTAAGTTGTTGTCTGTTGCTTAGGTCTCATGTTGATTTGACTTCCTTCAAACCCACCTGTCATTTTTTCAAAATATTTATCCAGTAGAAGTTCC